TGCGCGGGTCCATGGTGATGCCTTTGGGAGAGGAACTCTATGGAAGTCTGAAAGAAGAGACATTCTCCAGCTTCGCATAAAGGTGGTGCTCTCGAAGGCGTTGCAAGACCAGACGAATATGTTGAAGGTGGCTGTCCCTGGACCCGGAATAGATCAGAATATTGTCCAGGTACACCACCACAAACCGATCTAACATATCCCGAAACACATCATTCATCAGGTGCTGGAAGACTGCGGGGGCATTGGTCAACCCAAATGGCATCACCGTGTACTCAAAACGGCCGTATCAGGTGCCAAATGCTGTCTTCCATTCGTCCCCCTCTCGCATCTGCACCAGGTTGTAGGCCCCTCGAAAATCGAGCTTGGTGAAGATAGTGGCCTCCCTCAACCTCTCCAACAACTCCAGAATGAGCGGCAAGGGGTAGCTATTCTGCACCGTGATGGCGTGTAGTCAACGGTAATCACAGCACAAACGTAAGTCTCCCGTCTTCTTCTTGACAAAGAGGACTGGGGCTGAGAGAGGGGACGACGAAGGCCGTATTCATAACTATGTTTTTACTTATACCTATTATCTTGTAAGCAATTGACAAACCAAATAAAGTAAAATAAAATAAATAAACTGGATGCAGTATTTTAGGTGTGGTCTTACTAAGGCTTTATTGAGGGGTATTAGTACCTCACTTGATCTTGATTGAATTCCTCTGTTAATGCAATTTAGGATTATATTGTTTTTTTTGGCTGTCCCCAAAGACTATTGGCTCCTATTTAACTTGTTGTCCACTAAGACTCCTCTGTTAACCAAAAGAACACAGATCTTATTTTTTTATGCAACTTAGCACTCATCTAATGTTCTCTGTCCTGCACTGTTGGTTATTTTGTTTTTCCCTTTTGCATATCAGCTAGGTTATGGAAGATTTTGAGCTTTGTGGTGGCACTTCCTGCGGTAGGCATCTGCTGGCTGAACGTGCAGCTGATAAAGAGAGATCACCCCAATGAACGTCCTGAGTTCATTGCATATCCCCACCTGAGGATTCGGACAAAGGTAAAAATGTAGCAGGAGAGGGAATCAAAGTGGTTAGGCTTTTCACACTGGATTCGTGAAGGACTTCTTCCTTCTGAAGCTAATAGTACTGCCAGGAGTAGATCTTCTCCCTTAATCATCCAGTCCTCCAAAATTAGAATGGCGACCACCTTTTGGCCCTAAAGCTTCATCGTCTGAAGTTCTGCTCACAAGGGACCCCAATTTTTTTTATAGTATTAATTGAGTAGCTCTTTTATTTTTCTGGGTGAGCTGAATTTTCATACACAGGTAGTTCTTGATTTAGGGTCACAATTGAGCCCAAATGCTAAATAAAACAGTAGCTAAGTGAGTTTTGCCCCATTTTATCATCTTTTTTGCCACCGTTGTTAAGCGAATCGTGGTCATTAAGCAAACCTGGCTTCCTCCATTGACTTTGCTTGTTGGAAGTCAGCTGGGAAGGTTGGAAATGGTCACCTGACCTCAGGTCATAAATACATGATGCCAAGCGCCTGAATTTTGATTTTGTTGACCAGGGGATGCTAAACGGTTGTAAGTATGAAAAATACTATCATACTGTAAGTCACTTTTTTCAGTGCTATGGTAACTTCGAATGGTCACTGGATGTAATTCAAGGACTGGCAGTATTTAATTGCTTGCTATGTTGTGGTGGGTTTTCAGCTGAGGTATTGATAGTTAAGCAGTTGTTGATAAGGGGAAATAATTATCTATATTAAGATCCAGAGGCAAGTGCAAGTTGGTGGGTGTGTGGCACAATGTTCATAAGGGATTATAAAAAAAAAACAACTTCAAGATGGCGGCCATGGCCCGCAATTGAAGCCCCACCCCCTTTTAGAATATTCATCACATGATGCATGGCATATATTAAAAAGGGGTGGGACTCCCATCATGTCGTCATGGCTACCATCTTGACTTTTCTGACCTCCCCTCCATAGCCATCCTGATGTGTCTCCTCAGTGAGCTTTCTTTCTGTATTCCCTTTTTCTCTTAATTATTTTAGGCTTATCCATGGGGCGATGGAAATCACACTTTCTTTCACAATCCCCATGCCAACGCTCTACCCACTGGTTACGAAGATGTGGGCAGCCATCACTGAGACCCTCTTAACCTTCTTCTTCTTCTTACTGGCTTCCTCTCTCTTAGTGAGAAGAAAGAGTTACAGCTGTTCAACACATCTTTGAGACAGGTGTCTATCTCTGGAGTCAATAAAGCGCATTTCACTGAACATATTGCCTTCCTTTTATTTCAAACGAGCTTGTGGATAGTGCTACTAAACGTCCAGATTTTAAGTACAAACAAGCACTTATCCAGGTACTGCTGAAAGAGGTGCAAAATCCCTTTCAACCAAAACTTGATTGCTACTGAAAATGCTAGGGCTTCGGGCCATTTCCATTTTTATTTTGTTTCCATGTACTGATTCTTTGCAAACCATTACAAAACCCATTTTTATTTACTTCTTTTGACCACAAAGGCAGAGAAGAAAAGGCATCAATCTACTGTCCTTCAGATGTCTAATAGGAGAGAGGCAAAGTGAGGTTAACTCATTGTCCTGTCCTAGAGTGGAAAAAAAAGCAGTGGTGTCACTCGTGCCAATGATCTCAGGCCTTTGACCGGGGTGGGATTCAAAAATCCCAGCAACCAGTTTGCTGCCCAGTTGTGGGTGGGCATGGCTTACTGGTATTTCTGGGAGGGCCATTTTTCACCTTCCCGAGGGTCCAGAGGCTTCCCTCAGGCCTCGGGGAGGGCAAAAACAGCCTCTGGGCTCTGGAGGCTCTCCAGAAGCTGGAAACAGGCCCGTTTCGCGATTTCTGGTAGTTCCGGGAGGGCTGTTTTTCTCCCTCACAAAGCCTCCACGTAGACCCTGCAGTTACCTGCATCGAAAATGGCCTCATGGAGACTCCTGGAAGGGGAGGAGTGGGTGGGGCCAGCTGGTCGGTTCAAATACCGGTTCGGCGAACCAGATTCAAATGTAACATCTGGTTCATCCGAACCAGTCCGAACCAGTAGAATCCCACCCCTGCCTTTGACTACCCATGAACTTTCTCCTTTCTTTAGCGTAAGTTTGATTTTGCTCCTCACCAGGATCGATCCACAAATTTCTTTATTTATTTATGAAATTTACATGCCGCCCATCCAACCGTTGAGCAACAATATGCCTATTTTCTCACAAAACACATGCATACAAAAGAATGTGACCAATAATACAATATTTCGTTCATACATTTTTATGTTCTTCATTCACTAAGAACCTACAGCTGTGTGATGTTTCTCAACATGACCATATACATCAAATATCAGAATAGGTGTGTTTCCTAGCATTCTTTATACTTCCATTAAATCTCCTTTTATATCCTGGAAGTTGAATCGTGGCAACTCGATATCTTTTTTTTTTAATTGGTTCAAAATGTTTCATTGCTAGTCCAAGTAGTTTCCTTGGTCTGAGCAAGTTGGGTAGGCCAGTGAGGCCCCCTCAATCTGTTGGGCACCAGGGACTGGTTCCATGGAGAGAGGTTTTTCTGTGGACTGGAGGGGGCCTGGTTTCTTGTGCTACCAGCATCCTGTGGATGGGGCTTCACTTATTTGTAGGGCCCGGTTTCTGGCATGCCATGGACCAGTGTTGGTCCATGGACTGGGTGTTGGGGACCTCTGTGTTAGAGGAAAGGTGTCTCCAGAAAGGTGTCATTTTCTCTCCTCATCTGGATAAGCTTTGTTAAGGATAACATTGTTTACCCTAACTGGTTTGGGTAAAAATAATAAATAAGGTATCATGGTTTGTTAGTTAAAGTGTGTGTAACTTTAACTGCAGGGATGGAATTAAGGGTGTGGTTGTAAAAGCACTATATAAGAAGCGAGGCAATTGCAGCTCTTTCTCTCTGGCTTACTGATCCCTAATTACTAGATGGATTGATGACTGCGTTCTTACTGAAACGGGGAGAGAAAAAGGAGTGTTGATATTTCTCAACGGAGAGAAGATAAAGATTGGACTGATTTATTGTAAGTGTACTGACATTGGCTATTCAACACGGACTTTGCAAATAGAGTATCCCCGACAAGACTTGACTGAAATTGATATATGACTAATGGACCGTTATTTTGACTATGCTATAATTCTTAAATGGAATAAACTATATTTTTGATAGCACAAGCGTATCTGTATTTTTACTGCGTGTTAACTAGAAAACTTATCTCACACAATTACCTGTCTTCCTATCTGACTTCGCTGCACGTTCTGTTTAGTTTGTTTTCCTTAACACCCGTTGGGGAATCCAGGCTTAACAAGCTTGTTGGGTGAGAAGTCAGAGAGTTGTTGGCAAGTAAATGTTCCAGCTCCTAAATCCTTTACCTTAGAACACATAATGGGGTCACCCCAACCAATTTGAAGAACAGCAACAAACATTTTGAACCAACAAGAAAACAAATCCAATTGCCCTTACTCAACTTCCAAACAACTGTACCTGGAATTACTGAAAGTTTTCATCAACATGCTCCTTATGTATGGGTAGTCTTTGACTTACGACCACAATGGAGCCCAAAATTTCTGTTCCTAAGTGAGACAGTTCTTACATGAATTTTGGCCCATTTTATGACCTTTTTGACCACAGTTATTAAGTGAATCACTGCAGTTGTTAAGTTAGTAACATAGTTGTTAAGTGAATCTGGCTTCCCTATTGATTTTGCTTATCAGAAGTTCGGAAAAAGTGATCACATGACCCCGGGGTATTGCAACCGTCATATATATGAGTTGCCAAGTGTCTGATTTTGATCGTGTAAATATGGGGTATACTGCAATGGTTGTGAGTGTGAAAAATTGTCATGTCACTTTTTTTGGTGTCATTGATTATCCTTTGGTAGCCCCAAAGGTGCTTTTTCAAAAGGAAATTGGACTTTCTTTGTTTTTGCTTGAAGACTTTTTTGCTTCTCATCCAAGATAGTTTCCCCTTCCCCATTTCTCACTCTGTTGAACATTTCTCTCCTCCTCTCCTCTCCCCTTCTCCCTTCCCCTTCCCTCCTCTCTACTCTACTCTAGTCTACTCTAGTCTGATCTAATTCTATTGTTGATTCTCAATTTCTGATTCATTCAGAACTGAAGAAGCTTCTTGGGTGAAAAGCAAAATGTCTCCATGCAAAAACAAAGAAAGTCCAGTTCCCTTTTGAAAAAGCACCTTTGGGACAACCATGACCTGGATGATTGAGATTCTCCATAGACATTTATCCTTTGGTAGCATCAGAAGGAGTGCTGGCTTCTGGTGGACCTTCAGCCACCTCATTATGTGCCTCATCTATCATCAGTTTATACTGTCTTTTGAAGAATCCAAGCTGGAAGGAAAAAAAGAAAAGAAAATTCAGTTTAGCATTGAGCAATAATGGTGGCAAATTAGATAGATACGCAGTTGAAAAGGTGTCCAATCTAGAGGAGTCCACAAACCAATTGGTTCATTCTCAAGATGATTTTCAAAATGGCAACTGGAATTCCTTGATTTCTTCCTTGAAAACGTCTTTACAGGTTAACAGAGTTGGAAGGGACCTTGTAAGTCATTTAGTCCAACCCTCCACCCAAGCAGGAGACCCTACACCAGTGGTAGTCAACCTGGTCCCTACCGCCCACTAGTGGGCAGTAGGGGTTTTGTCCCCTACTTTATAAATCACCATTACTGTGGAACCAGTGGGCGGTTAGAGAAAACATTTACTACTAACAGAGATACAAAAGTGGGTGGTTGGTATAAAAAGGTTGACTACCCCTGCCCTACACCATTTCTGACAGATGGCAACTTTTGCTTCTCATCCAAGAAGCTTCTTCAGTTCTGACAGAATGGTATGGAATGGAAGGATTGAGGGAGAAGGTTTATTCTTCCAGCTTGTGGGTTGGTTTCCGAGTGTTTCATTACCAGGCTAGGTAACATCTTCAGCTGAGTTTTAGGGGATGTCAGTGTTGGTGTTCTTCTGACACCATAAAATAAATAAATCCTTCCATTCCCCACCACCATTCAGTCAGAACTGAAGAAACTTCTTGGACGAGAAGCAAAATATTTTCAAGGGGGGAAAAAAACCAAAGAAACCCAGTTGCCTTTTGGAAAAGTATCTTTGGGTCAATTATGACTTAGATGATTCTGAATCTCCATAGACAAATTGGTTTATTGTAAGACTGAAGGATGGACAGTAATGGACACTCTTCGCTTTATTAGTAGATTTTTCTCCTCTGTTTCAGGCACCTCTCTCCCCCTTGGCTTTAGCAGAACCACTTTCGTTTGAGAAAAGCAATAACTTGATATATTGTCTCATAATATAAAGGTAAATGCGGGAATGACCTTTGGAGATAGGGAGAGTTAAGTTAAGATGCTACCTACGCCAGTGATCCCCAACCTTTTTTACGCCGCGGCCCGGTATCCCCAACCTTTTTTATGGCGCGGCCCGGTACCGGCATTAGCTGGGCGCCGCCATCTTTTTTTGATGAAAAAGTGCTTCTGGTGAGCTTTCTACCCGGAAAAGCTCACCGGAAGCACTTTTTCATCAAAAAAAGATGGCGGCACCCAGCAAGTCGGCGGCCCGGTAGGACTTGTTCCACGGACCGATACCGGTCCGTGGACCGGTGGTTGGGGACCCCTGACCTACGCAACAGTTGGATAAGAAATGATATAGCCTGAGGTTGTGTAATGGGTAAAGGAAGAATTCAATTCTCCCTATTTTCTCTGGCTATAAGAAACACAATGGGAGACTTGCAATCTTCTGTTAATGTAGTCTTACAACAAAGTAGAATTATTTTATCTGCTCATGTTTCCTGTCCTATCTATCTGGGAAGACTGATAACATAACTGGGATGGAAGTGGATTACTAAAATGTTTATTGCAGGCCCTTCGCTCTCTCAGTATGCTTACCTTATACAGAATTGCTGCAATCAGAACAAGGAGTACAAGACCAATCAGACAGCTGCCAATAATGATGGGCAGGTAGTTGTAGCCTTTAAAGAACTCCACTGTGGTCTTCACCTAGAAGAATGGAAGGACTGGATCATACAAGGGAAATCACAATCCTTTGGTCACAACTTCCTTTCTCCATACTGTGCTTATCTTCCGATGGAGCCAGAAGTTCTGATGACAATCTTGGTGGGATTCAAATTTTTTTTACTACCGGTTCTGTGGGCGTTGCTTGGCGGGAGTGGCAGGGGAAGGATACTGCAAAATCCCCATTCCCTCCCCACCCCACTAACCTGCTTTCCAGCTCTGTTCTCCTGTGCAACAAAAGAAGACCAAGCCAATCAGCTGGGACTTGGGAGGCAGAGAATAGATGAGGGCAGGGCCAGTCAGAGGTGGTATTTGCTGGTTCTCCAGAACTACTCAAAATTTCCACTACCGGTTCACCTCTTTAGTTATTCCTTGGAGGAGGGGAATCATTACCTGGCTTTTCATGAATTCTTCTATCTGCTTGTATTTGTTCTTGTCATAAGAAATTTGGGTGGAGCTCACCAAAGTCACCTTCGTCTGCTGGATCTGAAAAAAAATATAAACAACCTCAGAAGTGGAGAGTTAGGTTGCTTGAAAGGTTGTACCAAGAGAGGGAAGGGTAAGAATTAAAGGTAGTCCTTGACTTACAACCGCCACTGAGCCCAAAATTTCCATTGCTAAGCAAGACACTTGTCAAGTGACTTTTGCCCCATTTTACAACTTTCTTGCCACACTCGTTAAGTGAATCACTGCAGTTGTTAAGTCAGCAACATGATTGTTAAGTGAATCTGGCTTCTCCATTGACTCCTGCTGGTCAGAAGGTTGCAAAAAGGAATCGCATGACCCCTGGGGCACTGCAACTGTCATAAATATGAATCAGTGGCCAAATGTCTGAATTTTCATCACATGATCATGGGGGATGCTGCAACAGTCATAAGTGTAAAAAGTGGTCATAACTCACTTTTCTCAGTGCTGTTGTAACTTCGAACAGTCACTAAACAAACTGTTCTAAATCAAGGATTACCTGTACTGATGTTAATAGAAATGTTATTTATGGACATAGACATGCCAGTGGCCATTGGCCTATCTTCATGGGCCAAATCCCATCCAGCAACAAAATATACATGAAAGAATCCTATGAATTATCATTTGTTGAAGGTGAGAATGATTCTGTGGGACAGTTTTCACCATTATATACTGCAGAGCTATTCCATATGCAGGGGTTTTTGGTCTGAAATCACCATTGTGCTCCTATGTCCCCATGCTGTTTTGGCATTTCTCTTGGTCTCCTCAATCTAAGCTAAAGAACGTTTGGCTCAGCAGTTCCTCCGTAGGAAAGACAATTTTACAGGATTTCTTTTGGAGCTGAGAACTAGACAATTTCCCACTAGCTTTGTCCTAACTCCCAGCTTCCCAAGACTCCTTTTCCGCTTGAATTGAGGGTATTGTGGTATTTTCACTTCATCCTTTCTTATTGCTTTGATGGTAGGCTCCACCACTTCCATGTATTGGCCAGTTGCTTTTATCTTTTGTTGCCTCGCCACAAATAGTCAACATAATGAAGGAAAAATGAAGATGAGAACGAAAAGCCATCCACATTTTTGTAGCACAGGCTAGATAGAGGCAGCACCGGTCAGCTCAATGGAAAGATGAAGTCCACATGAAAATGAGAACCAAGAAACACCTGTGTTTCTCTATCATGGGACAGATTGAGGTCAATGCTGGGTGCAAAATTAGGGAATACATATGGTAGTGAAGTCAATGCATATGTGGAAATGCCCTTATGCAAACATGTCCTAAAATTTAGTTGGTTTTCTATATGTGTGATGGTGTGTAATTATTATTATACCACAAAAGGCATTTTACTGTCCTGCTGTCTAACCCAATAAAGACCCAGCAGATGCCTCCATACCTGTGAAAACCACTTGAAGCCAATGTCCCCTTTGATCTTGAACTCAATAAATTGACGGAATTCCAAGGATGGAACATTGCAAGTGATTGTTTTACAGGTGGCTACAGAGCAGTCCTGGAAGACACAGAAGAACATTGTCAAGTGTGGTTGTAGGAATGTTGAGACTATTAATTTCTTGTGACCACAGTGGGCAGCCCATGAGGCCACCAAGATTCCCCCGAGTCCATCTGCTTTTTCAAAGGAGACTTGCCAGCAAGAGCACCAGGTATGCTCACCAAAACAGGTTGCTTGTTTAGTTGCTTCACAAATTCCTTGGATCCTGGAGTGTTTGTTCCAGGCACACAAATGATCTGAGGGAACTGATAGACAAAAGAAAGGAACAATCTGAAGATCAGGAGGGATTATAAGTGCTCTATTTCTGAGCTTGAAGAATAAATCATGGGAGACTTTTAATCTTGCATTGTTTATCTTTTCAACACTGAACCCCTCAGAGCAGGGGTAATTTTCCCAGAGGCCACATGAGAAACTGGAAGTGTTATGGAGGACCAAAGCAATAGGTTGAACTTAATTCTGCTCAATATTAATTTTTTCATGTTATAAAAAGTGGTGTATTATATGGTTTTGAATAGCTGCAACAAATTTACATTTGATTTCTAATTTCCAATTGACCTCATGCAGGCCAGACAGGAACAGCCAAAGAGCTGGATGTCTGCAGAGATTCTCAGTCATCCAGATCATGATTGTCCCAAAGGTGCTTTTTTTCAGGAGCAAACTGGACTTTCTTGTTTTTTCTTTGAAGATGTTTTGCTTCTCATCCAAGAAGTTTCCTGTCAGAGCTGAAGAAGCTTCTTAAATGAGTAGCAAAACGTCTTCAAAGAAAAAACAAGTCCAGTTGCCTCCTGAAAAAAAGCACCTTTGGGACAAAGGGCTGTCGGTGATCCAGGGGCTGTAAATGCCCATATCTGCCTTAGAGTTAAGTGGGGATATTGAATCAATGTATAGAGCATATCCAGCAGGTATTTTACATAAGTGTCTTAATTACATTGAGAATCAATGAAGGGAGGGAACAAAAATATTGCTTGAAAGCATCTCTCCTATTTTGATTATGATGATAGGTTCTCACCAATCTCTATTCAGATATGTGATAATAGAACAAAGATTTCTGAAGAACAAATCTCTTCTTGGATCAGAACAATCAACCAGCTAATTTATCAGTTTATTTCCAGCAATGGCCATTTGGATACTCCTTGGTTGTTGGCAAGGATTGATTAGGTCATGTTTCTTGTTCATCTTGTACTCAGAGACATTTCCTCTAAACAAGAATGTTCTGCTTATTGTTCATGGTCACTGGCCTAGTGATCCTTCATGAATTGTGTCTCCATCTTAGTCCCTGACTAAATGTTGACATGGAGAAGAATTCTGAATTTATACGTTCCAGATAAAGATGGTCGTATCCGCCAATTTGCTTATAATCCTGCCAATATAATTTAGAAATTTACACCTTGATTTGATGGAATTCTAGCAAAGAGTATCTTGACTTAAAAACTTCAGTTTTATTTTGTGTTCTAGTTTGCTGTTGAATAATTCAAGGTTCTCTTGGTATCAAATAAAGTATATCAATAAGATCTAGATATTTACAAAGGAATAATTAAATTTGTCTCTGAAACTTAAGGACATTCCATTTGTAAGATACTGTTTATTCAACCATTAACCAGATTTTTCTTAATCTTTGAGATTAAGTAGCTATATTGTATAATATATATATATATATCACTGACTCTTTTTTGTTTAAAAAATAAACTATACTTGTTTTTGTGCTTAAAAAGTAAGAGAAATTAAGAGAAAAACCCAAAGGGATGTTTCTCCCCACACCCAATGTCTTCAAACTTCTAAAATGAATTTGAAATATGGATTTGAAATATTAGACCATAATCTACTTCTAAGGGGTGAATACTTGCTTTCCCGGTAAGAAATCTATTGCTAACTCAGTTTATACCTATTTATACCTACCTATTTATACCTATTTGGTCAAAAGTATTCAAATAACCTGAATGTTTTTGGCCAAGTAAACATCAAAATAATATTTCAGTTATTCCTAAACCTCCCGTCATGTTTTTCTTCTGTTTAACTTAAATTTCCCATCTAACCGTTTATAGTACAATCTGGTAATTAGTGGACGGATTTCTCACTGTACAATTTTGATACATCACTTTGCTCTGTGTTAGAAAAAATGGGAATGGCAATTGAAGAACAAGAAGAAAGAGTTTCAGAGGAGGAGGAGTCGATTCAAGGAGAAGACATTTTAAATAGACAATTAACACAAAGAACACTACAAAGAAGTGGGGAAAGAAGGAAGGTTAAAAAGTTGAAATTTAAGAAGGCAATCAAAAGGGGGAATACCTGTGAAGTCAGGAAAGGCAGAAAGACCCAGTAGAAAAGGGGAAAGGAAGAGAGGGATATAAACTGGAATGAGAAAAGATATGGGGAAAAGAGGGGGAGGAGAAGCAGTAAGAAACAGGTGCATGAAATAAAGAAATACGGAAATAGTAAAATGTTGAAAAGAAATTGTTTTTTCAGAGATAATGGTTGATGAATTAAAAAGGGGATTCTGCAGGGTGACAAGGGGTAATAAGAATATTTCTGCAATTAAAAATATTTAGAAAATAGGGTAATATAGATACTGATAACTGTTATTAAAAATCAAGGGGGGAAAATATGCTGCGGAATCCAAATGAAAAGATGTAATGATTATTATTGTAACTTCTTAAAAATAATGGTTTATTGGGAATCAAGATGAGGGAATAAAGGTATATTTTAATCATTGAGGTGTCACACTCAAAACAGTAAAAGGGGGGAAACCTATACTTGTTTTTTTTTTTTTTTTAGTGTTAAAATTTGTATTAATCTAGAATTTATAGAAAGAATGTGTAATGGAAAGGGAATATGGCAGACTAAAGAACCAACTAAATTAATAAGTTAATATAGACTATTAAAAGCAAGGAGAGACATTGGTAACTTATTATTATTATTATTATTATTATTATTATTATTATTATTATTATTATTATTATTATTATTATTATTATGCAAACACATATTGTTTTTCTTTATTTTTAAAATAAATATTAAAGTATTATATTTGAAATAATTGAAATTAAACAAAAAGATGTTTCGATTGAGATTAATGAAAGAGGCTGGAATTAATGTGTCTGTTTCTCTCCTTACTGAAAATTTGGAATGGAAAAGGTAATAATAGAATTAAGTATGCATATATGAATGTATAATTGCTGTCATATTTGTATGTAAAGGTGATGACCCGGAAATATGTTGTCCACTAAAAAGAGATTTTTGTTTTTAATGTGAAAAACTGAATAAAATTTGTTAAAAAAAAAAAAAAGAATGCAGGAACCGGTCTTCAAATGAACTAATTGTCTCTTGCAAAATCCCAGTCCCCTTTTGCTTCTCTCTTATTCCCTATGGGAGGGGCCATTCACCATCCACCTGTGGCTTTATTCCCAAGTTGACCCTTGTTCCTTAACTGTTCCCTTCGTCTGGCAGCAGTGCCCATGGGCACACTGGGTACAGGCTCCAGCTGTCCTACCTCACTGATGTCCGACTCTAAAGGCAGCTGATAACTGTCAGATGGCCCTGGCTCCATCTCTGCCTCTGATACAGAGCACTCGTCATAGCCTTCCTCAGACTCCAGGACTGGCCCGTGTTCCCCCCACCCACAACCTCCTCACTGTCCGAGTCTGCCGCCCAGCTCCGCTGGCTGCTATCGGGCCACAACAATACCTCTTGAGGGACGTCCAAGGTTGCATTCCAAATCTGTGTTCCATTCAGTGACACAGGAATATGAAATGTTACTGAAACAGAAACATTTCGAAGATACGTATTCTTCATCTAAATTGGAAGAAAATTCAGCGTAAGAAAATACATAGACATCTAGCATTCTTAGTGCAGGTCAATACTTTGCTTTTATAGGGATGGTTTCCCCTCGTATCTAGACATGAGAAGTACAACTGTGTACTTAAAATTCTTTACTCGTGTTTCCAAGACTCTACCTCCAGAGAGTCTAGTACAGGTAGTCCTTGACTTATGACCACAACTAAGCCCAAAATTTCCGTTGCTAAATGAGACAGTTTTGTTCAGTGAATTTTGTCCAATTTACAACTTTTCTTGCCACAGTTGTTAAGTGAATTACGGCAGTTGTTCAGCTAGTAACACAGGTGAATCTGGCTTTCCCATTGACTTTGCTTGTCAGAAGGTCACAAAAGGGGATCACATGACCTTGGGGCATCGCAACCATCATAAATACACGTCAAGTGTCTGAATTATGACCATGTGATCATAGGGATGCTGCAGTGGTCTTAAGTGTGAAAAAAAGGCCATAAGTTACTTTTTTCAGTGCTGTTGAAACCTTGAACAATCGTTAAATGAACTGTTGTAAGCTGAGGACTATCTGCACAAGCTATCCTGGTGTCTGGGGTCATGGGGGGGGGGCTTTCTGGGTGCCAGGTCTGAGGCCCTTTTGCTCCCTTCCAGGGCTTGCTTGGAATAGGGGCTTCCCCACCCTCCCCCTTTTTGTAACTTCAGAGTGGGCTAGAAAAAAATGGAGGGAATGAGTGGTGCTTGGCAGGCAGCCTTGTTTGGGGATAGGCTTATTGCCCAATGTGCCCTTTTTCAGGTGCACTGCAGATATTAAAAAAAATGAGAATATTTGTAGCTCAAGGTTGAAATGAGGGATCCTTGGTGCTCTCTGAGCTTGTTTTCTTGCAGACGTTTTTCATTACCCTAACTAGGTAACATCATCAGTGTAGTAAGGAGTGCTGTTTGCTTTCAGTTTATATTCTGTGATTTGCCCTGTCAGTGTTGGTGGGAGTGGTCTTGGAGATTCTTTGGTTGTTTATTAATGGCTGTTTGGCAGGTTTTTTTGATTGGGGTATTGTTTACATGATTGTTGGTCTGAAGTTTATCTTGGAGTTAATCTATGGTGATCTGAGTCCTGGTTACTGGTGGAGAGAGGTGATAGAGCAGGTCCACGAAGTGCTTCGATCTGGCCCACAGGGCCACCCTGGAAACAGTGAAGGACCAGCCCGCAGTGCCTCTGCCAGCAAAAACAGAGCTCGACGGGGACGCATGCACCACCACCCCGCCCGAGCTCCATTTTCACTGGCAGAGGGCTGAAGGAGGCCGTTGTGGCCAAAAACGGAGTTCAGGAGCCTGTTTTCACAGGCAGTCCCGATATGAGTGATGTCAAGCTGTCCACACCCACCCTGGCCGTGCCCACCCCACCCCTGAGGTCAAACACAACCATGATGCGGCCCTCAATGAAATCAAGTTTGACACCCCTGTGCTAGAGTCTTTCTGTTCTCATTTGGGCTGGCTGATAGTCTCTTTTGCATAGTCTATAGATGCTGCTAATGCCTATGTCTCTATTGATGGCTGATTTGTCAGAGTGCCATCTTTCTAAAGTTTCTCTGACAAATCAGCCATCAATTGACACATAGACATTAGCAACATCTATAGATTATGCAAAAGAGATCAGTCCAAAGGAGAACAAAAAGATGAGAAGCAAATACTTTTCAAAGGAAGAATGCATCCATCACTACATAAACGCGCTCCATTCTTAAGAAACTCTTCCTCTATCTTAATAAATAAGCCCCTCTCTGTTCTAACTCCTTGACCACAAAACGATCCACATCTCTTTCACCTCGTAATGATGTTCCACAGTCTGGGTTTCATCTTCCTGTCCGGCAGAAATATTAACATACTTGGTTGATGAAGCCAAGCTGGAAAAGTGAAAGGTTGAGGGGGGGGGGGGAACATTATGTGATTGACCATAATTTTCAGTTAATTAAGATTACAGCTGTGCTTCACTCATTCCTTAGCAATGTGAATCATGAAAAATGGATTCACATAGGTGGCTGTGCAAACAATCTAAGACTTCATAGCAACTTCTTGAGATATGATATAAGCAGGGGGAGGCCACTTACTTATTGATGAAAATGTTGATTGCATACTTGACGGGCAGCTCCATTCGATAAACCATGTCCTTTGTGACAGTGACATTATTTTCACTGGAGGGATGCAAGGAAAAATGGGCACAGCTTCAATCACAGCACACCTGCATCTCTCTTAATTACAGCTGTCCTGTCCTCCCTCCCCTATCATATCACATTCAACATCATCTGATATAACAGTGAGAACCTCAGTATCAGTGAAGTTGAATTTATTTAAGGAACATTTGCACAAGATTATAACTTGAGAAAACGCTGTAAATTGCTAGTGGAAAAACAGTCATAGACATCATGGCGGCTAATCTGATTTACATTGGAGAATGTTTGCAAGAACTGTGGTGCTGCAGTGGTTAGAATGCAGTACTGCAGGCTACTTCTGCTGACTGCCAACTGCCTGAAATTTGACAGTTCGAATCTCACCAGACTCAAGGTTGAGTCAGCCTTCCATCCTTTTGAGGGCAGTAAAATGAGGGCCCAGATTGTTGGGGACAGTATGCTGACTATGTAAATTGCTTAGAGAAAGCTATTGCTATTTTAGTCGTGGGAAGTTTTACCTGGAAGCTGTGGCACTGATTCTCACCACACTTCCTAGATTTGCATCTTGGGAAACAAAAAAGGTGACAATGAAGATCACCTGGAAAGAAGGAGACACAAAAGAAGATGACTCAGAATGCTTAAAGCAGAGCTGTGTTATACATTCAATCCAAATGTATACTTCATTAATAACCAAAACATTGGCCATGAGAAACTTGGAAACTTCTCAGTCATTTTCCCATCTCTGTTGAAGAGCTACAATCCCTAGAAATTGGGAATGGGAATGACCTTTGTGCAAGATAAATTTTAGAGTCAGATTTGTACACAATTATTTATTGCGAAGCAATTCTTTGAACTCACAACTAGATCAGGTACAAAGCATTCTATCTTAATGCTGTTTTGTGATTTTTGAGAACAAGCTATGAACCTTCTCACAAAATAGCCACTCTGGACTCTTTTTATAGAGAGTTGCAATGCCTTGAGCTGCTGAATGTCCATGGAGATTCTCAGTCATCCAGGTCATCGTTGTCCCAAAGGAAGAGGTCCCAAAAAGGTGTTTTTTCCCCCAAAAGCTAACTGGACTTTGTTTCTTCCTTGAAGGCATTTCACTTCTCGTCCAAGAAGTTTTTTCAGTTTTGAAGAAGAACTGAAGAAGCTTCCTGGAAGTTGAAACATCTTCAAGGAGAAAACAGTCCAGTTGCCTTTTGAAAAAGCACCTTTGGGACAACCATGACCTGGAGGACTGAGAATCTCCATGGACATTTAGCAACTTGAGTTGCTACTAACCCTTGAATTTATAGATAAAGCCAACCTCCTCAATTGGCAAAAGGTTCCACGTGTTAGAATATTACCAACACCATAAGACAGTCTTTGAAAGGAAATGGTCAATCTTTCTTGGACTTTGGGTGGATACTGTCAACTATTCTGGGTTCATAGATGGCCACTAGACTAACATACAAGAGGACAGTACCTCAGCCATGCTTCGGAAGATGGGATGATTGATGCCACAGATGGTTTTCCTCACAGGGACTTCCTCTGTACCATGAGGAGAGATGCATTTAATAATCACATATTTTCTGTTGGTCTGAGGAGGACAGGACATGATGATTATCACTGGTGATGGACAGCACCTTCTTTGGCCATTCCCCAACACTCTCCCCTCTGGTGTCTCTGATTTCTTTCTTATCTTCATACCTGCACTAATATAAATCTGCGATAGGACAGTGAAGATGGATGGATGAAAGTCAAGTTAGTACTGTAAGAATCCTCTCCGTCATTCCGGATGAAAACAGTAACATTGAGTTCAGAGGTCAGGCCAACCACCAATTCATTCAAGCTAAAGGAAAGAGGGGAAATGTCCTTGTTTAATCTCGAAAACAAGAATCCTTGAAGTGAAATTCCATCTGGAAGCCACTTCCTTTAACTTGGAGAAACCTACCTGAGATATATAGAGACTTTCTAAAGAAGAAAACCATTATTGTGAATATGGTTTACATGTTCAGGTTTTTTTAAATAATGGCTTTAGATGTGCTATAGATAGTGTGGCATTGAAGACTACTCATACTTTGTCCAACAAAGTTTGGAGAGATTTTATGAAGAAATGTCACCCACAAAGCACCCCCCACAAAGCAATTAATTCAGGCTGTGCAGGAACATAAGGCTATGCTGCCCACATGGCCGCAGGAACACAAGGCTTGCATAACTACATAGCCAAAAAGGCATTAAGAGTTGTTAACCTAATCTTACATAGCTTTTTCTCTGGTAATATTACACTACTAACTAGAGCATACAAAACATTTGCTAAACAAATACTCGAATACAGCTCATCAGTCTGGAACCCACATTATGTATCTGATATTAACACAGTTGAGAAAGTCCAGGAATATTTCACAAGAAGAGTTCTCCACTCCTCTACTCGTTGTAGAACACCTTATGCCACCAGACTCGAAATTCTAGACCTAGAAAACCTAGAACTACGCCGCCTTTGGTCCGATCTAAGTATAGTATATAAAAATCATACATTGCAATGTCCTACCTGTTAATGAATACTTCAGCTTCAACCATATCAATACAAGAGCGAACAATAGATACAAACTCAAGGTTAATCGCACCAAACTTGATTGCAGGAAATACGACTTCAGCAACAGAGTGGTCAATGTCTGGAATACTCTACCTGACTCTGTGGTTTCTTCCCCAAACTCCAAAAACTTCAACTTTAGACTTTCTACTATTGACCTCACCCCTTTCCTAAGAGGTCTGTAGGGGACATGCATAAGCGCACCAATGTGCCTACCGTCCCTGTCCTATTATTTTTTTTTATTTTTCTTATATGTATCCCTGTATTCATAACTATGTTTTTACTTATACCTATTATCTTGTAAGCAATTGACAAACCAAATAAAATAAGTAAAATAAACACAAGGTAGTGAGGGGAGGGGGGAAAGGGCAGAGGGGGAATTCACCCCTTGTGCCCTGGCTGGCCACTGGGATGCTTCTTTCCACTTCTTTCTTCTTCTGCTTTTGGCTGCACACAAGGAAAGCAGCAAAAGTCTTTCTTCCTCTCCCCCAAACTCCACCAGAAGTGAGTCTTTGGGACCCTGCAAAGCATCCTGCTCCAAGAGACAAATCTCACAAAGGCTCATTTCTAGTGGAGTTTGGGGGAGAGAAAGAAAGACTTTTTCTGCTTCTGCTGCTTTCCTTGCTTGAAGTCAAAAGTCTCTCCCCCACCTCCAAGAATGGAGCTGGAGAGGGTATCCTGCAATCTCAAATAAAGAATGATCAATTGGTAGGAAAACAGAATGGGGAATTTTCCTGCAGACTTTTTTGGGGATTTTCCCAGGGTCTCTGCTGCTTTCTGCAGAGACTCTGGGAAAATGTCAGCAAGCCACCATCAGTCAAAATTCATATTAGTGGTCCACAGGATTTAAAATTATGAATTTGGTGGTCCCTGACATCCAAAAGGTTGGCGACTTCTCGTCTAACGCATCTAAAAATGATCTGTCATGACTGTGGTGTCAAAGAATAAGAGCATTGATTTTGGAACTCGAGGATGGATCAGGATTGGTGGCTGGATGAGAATCAGTTGGAGTAGTGGTTAAAGTACTGTTCTAGAAAGCAGAAGATGGTGAGTTGTAGGCCTCCCTTAGGCATGTAAGTCAGTCTCTCTTTCTCAGTACAATCCAACTAACAGGACTGCTGTTGTAGTAAAATAAGCAGTAGTAAGTATGCTCACCGTCTTGAGTTATTTATAAAAAAGCAGATAAAATGAGAATAACTGTGATTGAAAAGAAGAACTTGTGGATAAATGGTAATACCAGGAAACCATAGAATAGCAGGCAAAGAATTGGAGAAGATCACGAAGTATCAAGATCTGAACACCTGAATTTAGTAGACTTTGGGATAAACCGGTCTTGATAGTTACAATGGTTATTGGCATTATTTAAAAAATCTGCTCATTGATAAAGTTCATTTGTCAATTATAAAAGACAACATTGCTTGTATCCGCAAACAAGTAGTCCTTGAGTTACGACCACAATTGAGCCCAAAATTTCTCCAGTGAGACATTTGTTAAGTGAATTTTGCCCCATTTTTGTCCCCCTTCTTGCCTTGGTTAAGTGAATTAATGCAGTTGATAAGTTAGTAACCCGGCTGTTAAATGAATCTGGCTTCCCCACTGACTTTGCTTGTCAGAAGGGCGCAAAAGGGGATCATGTGATCTTGGGACACAGACACAGTAACGGTCCTCAATGTGGACCAGTTGACAAGCACCTGAATTTTGATTCCATGATCACGGGGATGCTGGAAAAATCGTAACTTTGAAAAATTGTCATGTCGCTTTTTTCAGTGCAGTTGTGACTTTTAATGGTCACTAAGTGAACCGTTGTAAGTTGAGGACTACCTGCAAATACATTACAACATTCTGGGAAGAACTGGATGCATATGAAAGGCCAACCTCAGCTAAACAACTGGTAGGTGCAATTTCATATTTTTGTGTTAATAATAATAATAATAATAATAATAATAATAATAATAATAATAATAATAATAATAATAATA